CTTCTGAAAAAGTTAAAGTACAAACAAAAGAGGAACAATAGGGGGTCCCCAGTTGCAGGCAAATACACACTTGCCAGGTGTGTGTTCAGATTTGTCTAAACGTCCTTGGATTCATGATCCATCGTTCTCCTTGCTCGTTACAGACCATCCTTAATAACTTTGGCAACTATTTGGCGTATCACTGGATGCCAGAAGAGGGCTGCGTCGCCTGTACAGAAGACACCTTCAGTCTTGCCAATGTTACGGTAGGTTTCTAAAACCGCTGCATTATCTTCAGGACTGTACCATTATTGGCCAAAAAGTTTATACAAATTCAAGTCTCGTGCTAAGCTTTGCTCTCAGCATCCTAAATTCTGTTTCTTGAAATTTCCAACCAAGAACTTGGATGATATAGATATTTGAATTTGACCATGCAAACACGTAATGCCAACACCAGATCCCAAACATGTTGAAGAAGTTAAGAAAGAAAACTTTAAGCCTTGCAACGTTGAGACTTTGAAAAATTTCCAAGACACCATTCTTCTACAAAATTTCAGGCTTTGAAACTGTACATCAGAATTGGACAGTGTCCAAGAAAACGAATCAATCGAAACTGGGATCCCGTTAGAAATAAGAGACAGTTGCCTACTGAACATTTGTAAGAAAGATTGGCTAGGATTTCTTTAACCCTAACCCAACATAACAATACAAATTACTACTTGTAGTAAAATGTAGTAATCAGTGCTGCCGCTTGTAAGAGGACATGACCGCATTGTTCAGTGAAGCCATAAGATACAATAGATAAGACAATGTACCATACAGTGCTGTGGCACAATGAATGCATGTCTTTATTGTTCTCTGTACAAGTAACAATGGAAGTAACCTAGCCAGAAGTAGTTATTTGTAGTACTAGGTCCTTCAGGCTGAGACTTCTACTTAGTATTTTGTAGTACTGAGTACTGTAAGCCAAACAATATGCTTGGCGGTTAGGGTTAAAACTGTTTTGGGTATTAAAAGGAATCAGTAAAGTGGAGCTGAATACCCAATACCACTGTGGGGTATTTGAGCACCTGGTTCTAACCAATAGGCCGCTTTGGAATTTTTTTCTTCTGTACAGGAGGAGGACTTCCCACCCGTTCTGATGGCTCTGTTTATTGAGGTCCCGACGCCGTTCCTGGACGACTTCTTTGCCCAGATAGAAGCTCTGGACTATCCCAAGAAGAAGATCGACCTGTTCCTTCACAACCAGGTGGGTAGTTGGAATCTAGCAATGCAACAGATGTGGAGCTAGGTCTATCAATCGATGCAGTTGATCTACAAGGACTGAACCGACAACAAGAATTAGAAGTTATTAGGATGACCTGTGCTTGCTTGTAGTTTGTACACGCTTGCTGCTTGCCCCTTTGATCAAGAAGATGTTGCGAGCAACTAAAATGGCACTTTCCTCTCGGCATCTCGGTCTGTAGAATGCATCTGTAGTCAAACTTTCTCTCTTTTTTTTGGTCATTCACAGCCTAAGCATCGGCTGGACAGAGTGGCCAAATTTGTCCAGAAGGCTAAGGAGCGGTACAGGTCGGTCAAGCTGTACTCTCCTGTCAAAAACCTGACAGAACCGGAGGCCAGAAACAAAGGATTGTAAGTATGCCACTCGCTTTGACATAGAACCTCCAGTTCCTTTGATATTTTGGTTATTTATGGACTGATGAGTGTTGAAAGTCCAAGTACAAAGAGTGGGCCGTTGATTTCTTTGATAGTGGAGGGTTACTTATACAGGATTCAGGCAGGCTCTTTGCCAAACTTGCCCAGACGCTGAATCCAGAAACGTGCAGGAATGCTCAATACTTTTGGTGGTGTAGTTTTTATGGAGTTAAATGTGCTCATTGACTCGTTCCAGTCAACACTGCAACGACCTGAAATGCGACTATTACTTCAGCTGGGATTCCGACGTGCGACTGACCAACCCCAAAACCCTACAGATTCTGATCGAGCAAAACAGGTGAGAGCCACAACAACATTTCCCACATGTCAGCCTTTAATGACAGAGCAGTCTTGCTAGAAAAAGATGGTTGGAGAAAATCAAAGTGAAGAGTTAAAAGTTTGACAGTCAAGGGCGACATGTAATTATGTTATACCAAAGTAACTCCAGAGTAGGAGTTGGACTCAAGTACTCAGTTAAAGTAGTAAGACTTGCTTTAGCAGAGACACATTGTATGGAGGAAGGGATGGTATAAATGTCTTGAAACTGTAGGTTTTTAACTTTATTCCTAACACTCCTTAATCTTCCAACAGGTGAAGGATTGAGGAGTGTTAGGGTTAAGTAAGTTTTCACTGTTAGCAGTGAGCAGTGTTCGGTCTTGATTGAAGAAATTAAAACAAAGTCTCAGAGAAACAAAATACCTGTCTCTGCTTACATCATGCAAAGAACAGGATGCTGGATGCTTGAAGGTTGATAGTAGCAGAGTTGGATTAATGACTCGAGTCAATGACTCAACTTGAGTCCAACCGAGTCACAATTTTTGGCAACTCGACTTGAGTCCCGATGGGTAAATGACTCAACTCGAGTCTACAACCACATGACCTGACTCAAATTTCTCATGGAGACTTGACTCGAGTACAAGTTTATAAGACTCGAGTCTCAAAAAAATTAAAGCAAAATTTTAGTCGGCTAGATGCCTGTCACCCTAACTTATTTTCGTTATGTCTGAATGGAAATAAAAATACCATAAAATGACTTACATGTAGTTGTGTTTATATTGTGTTTTGCTCAAAATTTGTGACTCGCATTGATTTGACTCGACTACATACACTGACTCGACTCGACTTCTTGACCTATTGACTTGATTCGAGTCACCAAATGTAGTGACTCTTTACAACACTGGATAGTGGTAAATGTTTTCATTTATTGACTGAGCGCTGCCAATGTGACAGCAACTTGCTGTCCCTTTTGACACAGTGGTGTGGTTTCCCCTTGATCACAGATCAATCATCGCCCCCATCGTCCGCAAGGACGGCAAACTCTGGAGCAATTTCTGGGGCGATATCAACAACGAGGGTTTCTACGCCCGGTCTGAGGACTACGTGGACATCATCAAAGATTACAAAATGTAGGTATAATTAAAGGGTCACCAGGGCAGCCTTGTCTACTGGGAAAGCTCAGTCAATGGATTCTTGGCCTCTAAAATAAAACATGTCGGTAGGACTTCCCTTGGAGTTAAAAAAGGAGTTAATTTTGCAGACTCGTCATAAGTAAGTTCTGTGAACAGTTTTGATAAGCCAATCACAAGTATGACGTCTACTAATGCAGTAACTAAGACATGAATTCACCTCACCTCTATTGAAAAAATGGCGAGCTACGTGTTTCTTATTTCATTACCCCAACAACCTGACATCAAGTGCAACACAAAATAAGCAACTCTACGAGGGTTTCAACTAGGATAAAGGTTGCATTGGACAGTTCGTTTTTCAAGGTGAATTGTGTCTCATGTTTATAAATCAATATGTATGCTTTCTTTTTTTGGCTTTGTTTCAAAACCTGCTCCTTCTTGAAACTCAAAGAGTCAAATCTGATTGGAGCTGAAATGACTTGATTTAATTTTTTTCCCTTTTCTGTTGAGATTCACAAAAATCCAGATTTGCATATTTGTGTTGTGTTGTTTTTTGGGTTTGCAGTGGGTTGTGGAATGTAGCCTTCATCTCCAGCGTGTACCTGATTCACGGCAGCAAGATCCACGCTCCACACACCCCAACCTTCGAGATCAAGGATACTGATCCAGATATGGCTCTCTGCCAACAGCTACGAGATAGGGTCAGCCCGAGTCCATATTTTCATGGCTGTGGCTAGCTGTAGCACTGACTTCTATGGGAAAACAGCCGTAGGCACCAGACATTAGCTTACATATGCGTGCCTGCTCTCACCAGCTGTAGCGTTAGGTTGTGTCCAAATTACTGGGCTATGGCTAGACAGAATGTATACACCCGTGGAAGCCACCTGCCAGTGGCTTACATAAGTGTACCTGTTATTGCTAGCCATAGCCTTAGGTTGTGTCCAAATTACTTAGCTGTGGCTAGGTATAATGCATACACTATGTAAGCCATTGGCCAGCATTACTCATAGATTGACATGCTATTGCCAGTCGTAGCCAGCTTTAATACTTGGATATAGCTTAAGGCAGCATCCATATCTGTTGTCCAGTGCTAGGTCTAGGTCTTACCTTCATTTGAAATACACAGAGACAGGCAGACGTAGCCATAGCTCTGGAAGCCCGTTTCAGGCATAGCCTTAGTTCTTCTTAGGCTCATTCTGATATTGGCTCATTACTGCATTCCGATGCATAGATAGTCCCCAGCGTATTGTTTGTATGACCTCTGACGGGTGCTTAGCTTTTGAGACATAAACACAAGTAGGCATATTGTTCTGTTTACATGCATATGCGGTCATCATTGGAAATTTGAATCACCACTGCATATAGCAAGGAATAGCGACGTTGCTCGATATCACCCTTTCCCACAATGCATTGCAGTCTTTCATGAATAAAATTAAGCGATGTTCAGCGTTATTGCGTATTACTCACACCAGCAACAGAATTTGGCCCCACGACACTGTCACCATAACCCTACCTAGCTCTTGCTTCCTCTGATGTGCTCGGCCCAGCTTTGCGCCAAATGATCCCTGGAAAAAACAAAACTCGCCAGAACCCTTGAGTTGCAGTCACAGCTTCTCACTGTCCGTTTTTCTTCTCTGCCTTACTCCGCTGGTCATGCAGGGGGATTTCATGTACGTCACCAACATGCACTACTTCGGTTATCTAGTGACCACCGAATACTGCGAAACAGAGCACCTTCACAACGACCTGTGGGAAATCGGAAGCAATCGCAGGGTAAGGCCAAGAATTGACCATGTGATCCTCTTGACAAACTTTACTGCTCTGTGTTAACAGTGGGATTCTTCATTTGTACCAATTTGAACTGTTCATGTTGCCAAATTTCAGACCAGATTTCCTGTCAAGACAGCCCTGGCCACTGACAGAGTCACAAAACTGAACTTCCCGAGGGGTTGCAAAAGGCTTTGCCCAAAAACAACTTTTGGTAAACAGCATAAACCTACCGAGACCAAATGTTTCAATCTAGAGCCTGTGACAGAGAGGGTTACATCGATGTTTCAAATCTGCAGACAAAATAGTTAGTAAGCACTAGTGATTGCAGATTGTGTCAACTGCAATATGCTAGTTGTGTGTAAAGCATGGTGCTGTTATTTCTGTGAATGGAGCCGTCTAGTGGCCCAAAGCCATCCAATTCTGAAGGACCATCATGGCCTCTGAAGGCGTCCGTCAATTCTGTCAGCACATCAAGTTAGTCCCGTCCCTGCGTTCATTTCCCAGCCACAATTCATGCCTCCTTTCATATCTGCCCCACTTTTGTCACAAGGGTCGCAATCCTTTCCTTGCCCTTAGGCCCCCCCTGTGACCTTGCCTGACCTTGCAGACCTGGGAGGTTGCAAACAAACTGTAATAAGTAAGTTTCCTGTTAGTCAGCCCCCCTCCCTATCATAAAGTCCCCTTCCCGGGGGCTGTCAGATTCACTTCAGTCCCTTGGCATATTCCAACCCTTCATCAGGGAGTGATGAAGTTTTTTTCACTCTTTTGCAAAGGTGTTCCTGTGACCCAGTTTGCCAACCCAATGCCCAATGGGATTTGACTGCCAAGGGCAGCCTTTTCATGTTGTCTGGATTCAAACAGCATGGGAGTACAGATCATTCTCTCTCGCCGTTCTCGTTCTTACTTTTTTTCCCCCTACATTCCACCATTCTTTCCCACCTCGGATTCAGTCTCTCCCAATGGAAAACGTTTTTCTAGGGTCTGCTAAGATCCGGCTGCCAACATTGAAGATCTGAAGACAGACATTGATCAAGTGAAAAAGTTTGGTCATAAAAAGGACCTGGTGGTGTTTTTTTATTGACTTAAAGTGTCATTTCCTTCATTTCTTGACCAGCAGAAATGGCCGTTTTATTACCGACACTAATGGAATGTACCTTTATTCAAGTGAATTTGAATCAAGTGGTTTAATGTGGACTCTCCGTGACTTAAAATGACTGTGAGGAATGATGAGAGACAGGTTCTGGCCTGCCATTTGCAAACCCAAAGGGGAAAAAATGGCATTTCAAAATGAAACTCACAAGTTCAGTGAGTGTCTATTAACCACTTCCTGCCGGGGCAGTTACCAATGTTGATGCTGCTGGGCCGGGATATTTATCATTTTTTTTCTGTCTTCAAAATTCTTTAAAAATTCCTATCTTCATTTACTGGACACTTACAAACACGTGAAGGACTGTCTGGTGGCCCCTCTAGCCTGACAGATAAATTCTATTGATGCCCGAGTATTTCAGCCAGGCCTGCAGCCTTGTAAAAAGAGCCCTGATTATGCAGTGTTATATAACTTTCTTTTGTTCACGAACCTGGCTCAGTGTGCTGCTGACCTCTTTTCAATAGGGGCCAGATTAGCATGCAGCGGTGCTGTGTGGCTCATCGCTGCGATGGTGGAGCGCTTTTGTACCCAATGAGAATCCGCTCACTCTAAATGCCCCAAACCCTGGTATACCATTTCAAAACAAGGCTGGATTATCTCCACTTTTGAGAGGCGAAAATGTCGGTAATTCCCAGCAGCCTGGTCTTTTGTTCCGAGTATGGTCTTTTGTTACAAGGCCCTGTTCCCGTTGTCCGAGTGTGTAGACCCCGGCCACGCATATAAAGCATACGTGTCCGGATCCGAAATCCTCAGCAGGGAGTGGTTAAATCAGGACTGTTTTGGGCCAGTGTCCCTTCTCAAGGCCAGTCACAAGTAACGGTGAACGGCGACGAAGGAATGCTTTTATTGCACTTCATTTGAATAGCTTCAGACTTGAATTCAGACTGTTGGTCTTGTGTTGGTCTTGAGTTGTGAAGGTCTCAAGAGATCTTGACTATGTCCAGCACTGTTTTTTGGCAGGATGCTTCCTGGAATCAAACAGGGTGCCAGGCTAATGCTATAACAATTCACAAGAGTGCACCTCCAAGAGTTTGCAGTGCGTTGACCAATCACAGTGCATGAAATCTGTTGACCCAGGCGTGTTTGGAAAGGGTCAACAGATTTCTTGCCCTGTTATTGGTCAATGCATGACAAACTCTTTGAGGTGCGCTATTGTGAATCGCCCTAATGCTGTCTTCAGTGGTTCTGCTGAACATTTTTCTGTCTTGTTTCCAATTCCCTTCAGGTTTGGGAGGATCATTTCATTCACCCTGACTACTACCAAGTACTGGAGCCAGGGGTCGAGGTCAAGCAGGTACACTATGTTTAGACCTTTGACCTAGAGGTCAGATGTCAGAGTTCAGTAGCTGCATGAATTATCAGTTGAGTTAACGTCCAGTCAACTGCCCTATCTGTGAATGGAAGTTGAAAAAGCGGCCAGGTTGTGCATGCCGCTCTGTGTCCTTTTAACCTCAGCACAGGGTCGAGTGAAGCTTAAGTATTTAACTTGGTTGCCTGCAGGCTTTGAGCACCTGCAAAAGGTGCATGCCAGTTTCAACCACTTTTGCAAATTTTGCTTAGCCACTATGGTTGACTGAGAACTTGAAGATAGGGATGGATAGCTCCTTCATGACACTCTGGAATCATTGTGTAAGGGTCTTGTGTTCTGATGGTGGCTAAGTCAGAACATCTTTATCCATCACAGTTTAAAGACTGTTAAGAACAGCTTTGCGACAGAGTTGAACGTCGATAAGTTGCAGCAAAAGACTTCGAATTTGCATTCAATTTTTTTGTTTAATAGTGATATTCTCTTTCTGTTTCAGGTCTGTCCGGATGTTTACACCTTCCCGATTTTCACCAAGGAGTTCATCACCAAGCTGATTGAGGAAATGGAGTACTTTGGTAAATGGTCCAGCGGCAAAAACGAAGTAAGCGATCCCGTTTTAATTTTATTTATTTTTAAATTTTTTTCCTTCAGTGCGAATATCCTGCAGAAAAAGTAAACTTTGTCGTCCTTGCTGCTGCCCCCGTCCCTCCGTGTTCTTGGCACGAAAGCTTCAATTATGTACATAGAAGACGGGATTACAGACATCACATCCTGTGTTGAGCTGAAGAGAGTGCCGTGTTCTACAATAGGAGAAAAATTGGGAAAATCTGGGTTTTATTTATGTGTTGAAGTCAGTGATTGCAGTGCCTAATGTCTTACCAAATTGGAATCGGTTAGCTAATGCCAAAAGATTTTCCAAGTTTTTTCATTTGAACACAAACGCTCAACATCTTGTCTTACAAGTTTGACCACGGGTAAGCTTAGCAGTGGAGTGGTATTGAATTGGCATTAGGAGGTCACTGTGACTCATATCAGGTTGGGGTTTAGCTCTGCTCTCCTTGGTATGGAGAATATGACTATTCCCTACCCTACGCCCCTAGATGGGATGCGAGTCCATCACAGGTTACTCCCTAGCTAATGCTGGTACCCATGCTTCTGGGTGGAGAGAGGCAAGCAGGGGTGAAGTAATTTGTCCAAGGTCACAACTTAATGGCCAGCAGTTGGATTCGAACCCCCGGCCCTGTGACCATCAGTTCCAAACACTGGTCACTAGGCCACATTTGTGTCAAGATTGGCAATTAAAGCGGCTTTAAGTTTGATTAACCTTTTGCTCAGTTGTTAAATTGCGATGCCTTCGTCTTCGCAGGATTCGAGATTAGCAGGTGGATACGAGAACGTTCCGACGCGCGACATCCACATGCGGCAGATCGACTACGAACGCCACTTCCTGTACTTCCTGCGAGAGTTCATCAAACCAGCCGCTGAAAAACTCTACCAAGGCTACGATTCACGAGTGAGTAGGCCACACAGAAAGATAATCCCCGAGCATTACCGTGACATTAAGTATTTGGAGTTCTGATAATATTTAGCCAATCCAAAAGTTACAGCTCTGGCTACAGCTTTGGAAACAACTAGCCAGCAACTCAGCCACAACCTACAGACCTGTTTGTCCGTCCTAGCTGTAGCTAGTCACTATGTCTAAATATGAAAATGAAGAAATCATAGTGTTCCATAAGAAACCGGAATGTTTTAAATAGGAATTTAGTCCACTAGTGGTGGGTTGTGATGTAAGAACCATAGAACCTTGTGAAATCGCAGAGAATGTCATTAACACCTCGCAATTGACCCCTGCTGAAAAAAAATTGCCACCGTTAATGCCAAAGACGTGCTCAGAACGTAGATGACTCGTGCAGGATGAACACGTACAGCCCTTGTTGGAAGGAAACGGGTTAAGACGCGGGGGTAATCGGCGCTCGCAACGGGCGTGGAAGATGAAAAGCTGTGTAAGAGTTCACTCACGCTCGTCAGGTGCGATCACTTTTGGCTCGCGTACACCTCGTCACTGCTTATTAGAGTTCACTGCTTACTTAGGTTTTTTTTAATGGCTCACTTCCTGTGACCAGCCGATTACACGACCCAAAAAGAGGATGAAGTTGTCATCTGACCTCGTTTGGAATCAAGCATCTGCTTTGACACGTAACGAAGGTCACTGTTATTAAGCTAATTACCTGTACTTTTTTACCAGGGGAGTTTGACCAAGTGATCGTTGAGTGTTTTAATTTGAGGGTTTCAGATCTGTCTTTGACTGCGGCCGGCTGATTGGAAAGTGCAATAAAAATGCAACTGATGGATCGTTGATTACTTTTCCCTTGAGTGTTACGTGCAAAGTGGGCACTCCACAAAGTCAGGCTACATCCGTCAATGATCAATTTGTGGGCTCTTGAACACGCCTTGGGGTGCAACGTGGGGCCTGCATCAGTGCCTATATGCTATCTTGCAAGTGTGAACATCCCCTTAATGAGAGACTTTGAGACAAAGAGGGGAAGAGACATACCGATCCTTTTTCACAGTATTGCCATGCTCAGAAAACTCTGCACACAGGCTCAGAACAACACACGGATGCTCAGAACAATGTGCACATGCTCAGAACAATGCACGCATGCTCAGAACAACATGCTCATGCTCAGAACAACATGCTCATGCTCAGAACAATGTGCTCATTCTCAGAATAATGCGTGCATGCTCAGAACAACGTGCTCATGCTCAGAACAATGCACGCATGCTCAGAATAATGTGTGCATGCTCAGAACAACGTGCTGATGCTCGGAACAATGTGCGCATGCGCACAATAATGCACTCATGCTCAGAACACCACACGCATGCTCAGAACTGCTACAAAGAACGGGTATGTTTGCGCCACCAATCGTCTCTAAGTCTGCTGTGGAATATTTCAGTCTGCACAGCTGGTGATAACGTGTGATGGATCAAACTTAGCCACCCAGCCTGATGCAGGACGGAGGATTTTGGAGGATGCAGGAAGGGTCCTAAAAGTAAACATTCTTAATGAGTCAAGGTACAACCACAGTAGTGTCTTCAAAAGATGTGATGCTTGAATAGTTTGGGGGATTCAGGTTGGCAAGGTAGTTCTTTCCTCGCCTTCCACCTCTGTGGTCCCGGGTTCGATTCCCGGCCCGGTCCACATGTGGATTGGGTTTTCAGTCCCCACCTGACTCCGTGGGTTTTACCTAGAACATTCCTCTGGGGTTTTCTTCCCCCTTCTAAAACATTAACTGCTTCTTACTGTCTCAACTTTACTGATGATGGTGGTGAATGTGGGTCGTTTGGCGGCTGCCTCAGGTACCCTTGTATGCCATTGGCTCAACCATGTTTAAATGCATTCATTGTTCCATGCTTAATGTCTTCATTGTACAGCGCATTTGAACATATCTATATGAAATTTGTGCTTCATAAATGAATAAATTATTATTATTTATTTATTATAGTTTTGTCAATGAGAGATTTGGAATTTGCCCGTTTCAATTGGTAGTTCGATTTAAATCTTTGCAGGCACATGCTATCATGAACTTCGTTGTGCGTTACCGACCTGACGAGCAACCAGCCTTGAGACCCCACCATGATTCCTCCACCTATACTATCAACGTCGCCCTCAACACCAGAGGAGTTGATTACGAGGTAGGTCACCCAATCTTCAAATTCCTCTAAAAAGGGCTGACATATCCCAGTGTTTGATCTACCGTATATCAGTCAATTAAGTTTCTATGCACAGAGAATCAAAGGTTTCACTTTTAACATTTAGAATATAATTTCCCAATTATTTACTGTGTGAGGAAATAACACGGGTTGTTCGGAAGACTCTTAACTTCATGTGCAATATTTTGTTGCACAATTTGACTGAGCACACCCACCTATATTTAGAAACACAAGTTCGGTTGTGAGATTCAGCTGTCTAGCTAGGAGTGTTGTATTTGAGTCCATCACAAGTCCTTTCCACAAGTCCCCTTCCAAGGCCAGTCACAAGTCCCTTCACCA